TCGTATTTCCGGCATCGGCTGACGGCCGTGTAATATATCAATGTGATTCTGATCGTTTAAAATGTAATTTTTTGCATAATGTAGTATTACACTTTTACTGATATGTAATTTGTCTTAGTAAGCCTTATTGTGGGTAAAAATAAGTGTACCTGTATATTAAATGCATCCTTCGAAAGCGTAAATTTGTTACCAAAGTTTAACACTTGATTCATGTATAATACTTCTGATAAACTTCCTACGTACTTATGTTTAAAATAATGAATGCCTGTATCTTTATATAATATAGCTAAATATCTTTCTCGTCAGAATCGGTTATCCCAACGATGATGAATAAACTCATTTAGAAATACATCATTACTTCGGGACGAAATCGAACAGATTTGAAACCGCCAATCAACTGTAAGTCTTGAGAGGGGGCGGGGCATCTTTTCTCAGCTGAGTAAAACACACTATGGTCCTCACAACAAACCGAAATAACATCTTTATGTTAATTCCTATTCAATCAAACCAAATACAGGACTAAATAAATCATATAAAAAATCATCTATGAAATAATTTCTACAAATTTATCTTAATCTTCTCAGGTGTTACAAACCTCTGTTACCGCAAACGGGAATCGGTGGTAGAAGCAGTACCGTTCTTGCCTCGCAAGCGAGATGTCACGGGTTCGATTCCCGGGCCGGTGGAAGTTGTTTGGACATACTTCCTATCCCCTATTAGTCCCTGTTCACCTAGCAGTAAAGTAGGTACCTGTTGTAAGCCGAACGATGCGAATTCGTATTCAGGGAGTTGTTGGAGCTTCCAATAACTTGATGACATAAACCACTGACTCTTCAGGCTTCTACGCCCTTGACTCATGAGACATAAAGGCAAGCATGAACTTAGCATGCTTCCCTGTTGGGCGCTGTAAACGCTTCTGCGATTCACCTTAAAAAGGATGTAGGGGAGTGCCCAATAAAAAACAAAACAAAAAAATTACCGCAAACGTAACTCCTTACACAAGGGTCGGCAGCCAGACACTGGTTGAAGGCTGAACTTACAGAAAATATTGTGTTACAACAAAACAAAAGCGTAATGCGCACCAATAAATTTACACCACTCTTACATTTCAATCAAACTTGCATTCTAAGCATAGATTAATATTATATATTCCACATATTTTAATACAGACAACTTCTAGAATAACTCAAGGCTGGAAATTATTACACCCTGACACTCGATACAACACTTACTGAACATATAACTCCTAATCACAGAAATAACAGTAACCCTATCCTGTGAAATATAATGATTCATAATATCATAATTCAAATACTTACCATTATCAAACCCCATCATCATATTTTATTGTTCTTGTGTGTTCCGTAATTCTCTTTTGTCTTGCTCTTATTTCTCACATTAGTTTATTGCTTCTCTTGACTCATCTTCGTTAACTCCTCGTATTTTCAGTATGAAAAACCCAAATATATTTCTTCTTATTCAATTTATCTTATATTTTTTTTATCTCAATAATTTTGTCTCTTAAACATATACATAAACAGCCATAATTTTTGATACTTTTTAACATCACTGTTTTGTGTTTAGTAAATGTAGTCGGACAAATTATTTAGCTGTTAATAATGTTATGTTTATTTCCGTGTCACATTTAGCACCTGAGGTTAATAGACTCACCTCAATTATTGGGTCGTAACGTTTGATTAAGTCCTTGTTGACATATTTTTCTGCAGGCACATCTACTGATAATTAGAAAATAATATCTTATATGAACCTAGAAAATATTCTGTCGATAGAAAATACTGTAAACCAAAAATCAATTTTACTTTTTTACGAAACTTAGAAAAAAAATCATCTATAGAGGATATTGAAAAACCAATCTTCGTGTTTTAAGATGCTTATTCATTTACACAGTGTGACATAATTTACAAAAATATATTAAGCAAGAGATATGTCTTTGGTACTTTATATTGTTATTTTCAGATTCTTTAATGTTTTAAAACCTATATTATCGTCAACATGTATATATACGATATGTCTCAGAAAAATGTATACACTGTCCTACAAATGTTTGTAGCAGGGTTCCTCCGAGAAGCGAGGACAATGTTGCGGTTTTAATACACGAATTAACACGACCTCCAGGAAAATATGTAAGGCAGTGTGTATACATTTTCTGAGACACCATGTAAATTAGAGTTACATATTTCTAAACATGTATAATACCGACAATACATATTTTTTCACGTGTACAGTATACATAACGGTTATTTATTAACATGTATAAACTGCGCCGATACATTTTCTTTGACATTTTCTTTATATTTTTTATTTTATTTTTTAAATAACATCTATGTATTCTCAACATGTATATCTATTGGTTACACATTATCAACATAGATACATATCACATATACTGCACACTTTGACATGTTTTCATAGTGTTTATAAACAGTAGCTATACATATTCTAACACGAATATAGAAAATTACAATAAACAACAAGATACCTTACATGAAACACAGCGATAATGGTAGAAAATTCCCAAACTTATACATACATACTTCTTTCATTTACCCATTCTTTCTACTTCCCACAATTATCCATCATTCCTTCATTTAACTTTTCTCTCTATTTCCTTCATTCAAATATTCTCCCTCCTTCACCCATTCAACCACCTTTCCTTCATTGTATTTCCCTTTCATTGACATATTCTCTCTATTTCTCTCTTTCATCCAGCATTCCTTCATTCACCTTTTTTTTTTACTACTCTATCACTATTTCCCTTTCACCCCGAGGCGTCACTTCCTTACATCAAAGTATCTGATTTCCTCTTCCTCCTCTCTTCTTCTCCCCTCTTCCTCCTCTCTTCTTCTCCCCTCCTCCCCATAGGAATATGTCACACCTCATCAAATTGCACTCAGAGTGATATGCACACACACACGGCAGCTGAGGGGAGGAAAGAGGGGAAATTTATCTCCCTATGTGAGAGGTGTTGAGAGGGGAAGTTCATTTCCTTGTGGTGAGAGGTGTGAGAGGAGGAAAGTTCACCTCCCTGTGTGAGAGGGCAGACGTGTGAACGTAAGAGAAGCGGAAAGAGAGTCATAACGCATGGTGATAAAGAGGCAACTAAAGGATGCCGATAAAGAGAGAAAAATGGAAAGATATGATAATAATCAATGTCTTGGATAAACGAAATGTTGTGGAAATTCTCATCATCAATTTTAGGAAATATTCGAGTTTATATTTTTTCTCTCGTAACTCTGGATTAACTTATATTAACTGATACATTATTATGTACGAGACAAAAATATATATGAAGGTTAATATCGCAGTCGAATTTATATTAAGACTTTACTGGTTAATAATACATTTTTTAATTTTTTTTAGAGGGAAAGGAAAAAAAATCGGAAGAATCTCTGAGTTACCATGGTGAGAATGTTTATGTAGATCTGACATAGAGATTTGAGATGGTCAGGGAAATGGTTCAGATATGTCAGGGACCTTCAGAACCGTTATGCCTGGCTAACTGAGGCGTCTGAACTCTCTCTCCCTCCCTCAGTTTTCTTTATTTAAACTCTCTCTCTCTTCTTACCCACCGTTTTCTTTCTTTACTCTCTCTCTTATGACACTCCTGGACACTCACCCCTTTCTCACTTCATTAATCCTCTTTAATTTAATCTTTTTTCTTATATCTTTCTCTGACTCAACTTGTATTACATTCACTTACGCACAGAAACACAGGCAGATTATTATTACCAATGGTTACAACTGATCTCACAGCGGGAGGAACAACATTACACTCAACGAAAACATAGTATATAGGTATTGTTATGATCTGTACATGGGAGCAAACGGGAATAAACAGTCAGATAGACATTGTGAAATAGTATTAAATAAAACCTAATTATAATTATTTTTCTTAGTGCGAAGTGAGTTAATCTATTCGAATCACGTAAAAATTACGCATCCCATTTTATTTCACCTGATGAGTATGCACCCTAACGCTACCTGAAGGGGTGAGGTTAAGTTAGACTAGGTTAGCGTTCGAGTGTTCAATCATCAGGTGAAATATAAGAGGGTGTTTAATTTTCACACGATCCGTCTATTCCTTAATTCAGGTATGTGATATCACTTTAATTAAGAAGTAATAAGAGTTTGTTTTTTTCGTTTACACTATAATCACAGTTTCTACCTTACGATTATAACCTTACTGTATGGCACTAAATGGAAAGTTAAGACGATGATGAGGAGCAACTTTTGGTATGAAGACGGCAGGTGGCCTCGTCACTGTGCCTTGTCACCAATGAGAGTGAGGTACGTCATTCGCCACACAACCATTGAGAGAGGTACGTCAAACACCAAATATCCAATAAGAGAGACATACGTCACCCATCACACAACCAGTAAGAGAATGGCATGTGTTGACGATACTTAATTACAAAAAAAAGAGACATGTTGACGATGCATAATATTAACATATATACTTTGTGACGACACTTAATGAAAACACATACTTGTTAACGAGACCTGATGTAAACAGAGATACGTATTGACGAAAGTGTAAACAAAATCATGTGTTAACGTAATGTAAACATAAATACACATTGAATGAATTTAATGTGAACATGAAAACTTATTGATGAGTCTTGGCGTAAATATAAACATATGTGTGGACGAAAACACTCACTCAGATATGAAGGCAAAAAATATTCTAAATTGATATTCATCCGTATTCTTAAAGTTAAATATATGTAAACACCATCACACAAATTTAGTTTTATATACATACAGAATATCATCTATATTTGAGATCAACAGACATACTATTACACAACCAGGAAATGACTTATGATCACAGAGATAATAATAATAATAATAATAATAATAATAATAATAATAATAATAATAATAATAATAATAATAATAATTAATAATAATAATAATTAATAATAATAATAATAATAATAATTAATAATAATAATAAGAATTAATAATTAATAATACAGGAACATAAACTTGATAAATTAGACCACCAACTTTGGATTACTACCAACGAGAAGTATTTTAGGGTCGAAGCTCTCAAAGGTTGGTACAAGGAATATCCCTGACAACTGCAGACGTAAGAATGCAACTAACTGACTAACTTCGGCTAAAACACTTTACTAAAATCCTAAAATAACAGCAAACTTATACTAAGACTCTACCATAACTAGATACGTAAAAATAACATCTAGAAAGTCTCAAAATTATAGTGAGTTTCTACTAGAAACGTTAACTTAACACCATTTTTGTTTTGTTTTATGGTACAGAATATTTTCCAATAGATTCTGTACCTTTAATTTATCTAGTTTAGGAAGAGTTTCACTTAATAGTTTTATGTAATTTTTCATATGTTTTATCTATTCGTTTTGTGATTTAGCTTAAGTTAGCCAGTTAGTTATATTCTAACATCTTCAGCTTTCAAGGATATTTAGCGTACGATGTTTTGTGAATTCCTCATCCAGATCTTAAAACCCGTAGGAAGATCACCAAGATGGTGGAGACCAGAGGTAATGCCCTAAAAGTTGTGGGAGTCTCGCTCACACTACACTAAATTCTGTACTCACCCCATCACAAAACTGAACACTTTTCCCATTATCCGTATTAGTGATTGTATCTTTATCTCCGTTCTCTTTGGATGAAGATGCTATATCTTGCTTCCCCGTCGTCCCCCTCTCTCCTGGGTCCTGTGAGGTGACACCATCATTGTTGCTGGGGAACTCCACTTCTACTTTACATTCACCCGTCCCTTGTTTCAAGTTCATCTCGTTTACGGCATCGCCTGGCGCTCCAGCCATGGTTTTCGAGTCGCCTGCCTCGGTGTTTAAGCATTCGTCAGACAGCAGTTTCTCCATTTCTGTTGCGATTTTGTTCTGTTGATCCCTCCTGACGCTGTCGAGTCTGGACACACCGCCGGAACTTCTCTCCTCCTCGATCATGTCAGTGTTGAAGGCCGAGGACGACTGTCGCTCGCCTTCCAGCAGTCGACGGCCCTCTCCTGAGTGCCTTTTCTCTCCCTCCACTGACCTTCTTGCCTCCAAAGGACTCAGGACCCCATTCTCTCCAGCCCGGCTGTTCTGGCGGCTGCAGGCGACGCTGTTGCTGTTACTGTTCGTGCTGTTGGGGAGACAGTAGGTTCCCGCGAAGCTGCTCTGACGACCGTAGCGCGCCATGTTAGGTCGAGGCGCTGGAAAGTCGTCGAAAGAAGCATGGCGGCCACATTTTGCAAGAGCCACCCTAGCAGGATACGTCGCGTCCTTGAGGGAGCCTAAGTCCGTGGGGATTGTCCGTGAGGAGCCGCTACGCCCGTTCGACATGGAGGTCCCCGTTGTATTAAAGGTGGACTGGCGGCTCAAGTGTCGTCGTCGCCGGTCGTTACTCAGCAGCTTGAGAAAGGCCTCCCGGAACTTGGTGGACGTCAGGTTGTAGAGGATGGGGTTGACGGCCGAGTTGGCGAACTGCATCACCCGGGCAGTGTACAACATGCTGTCGGAGAGGGAGGGAGACACAGTGTTAGGGGGAGAGGAGGTAAACACCTTCATGGGATGGTTCACAGTGATACATAAGGCAAGAAATATCGTCCTTATTACTATTACTATGTTGTAGGAGAGAGAGAGAGAGAGAGAGAGAGAGAGAGAGAGAGAGAGAGAGAGAGGACCCAGCACAATATAAAACATACAGGGAGCCTTATAGAGGGCTATATATTGCGAAACTATAGCCTATAAGTTGCAAGGGGGAATGTATGAATATAGACCATATTTTGTAAGAGAGATGACAATATAATAAGTTGAAAGCAGGATAGCAAGAGTACATATTACAAGGAAGATAACAAGAGTACATATAACAAGGAAGTTAGCAAGCGTACATATAAGAGGAAGATAACAAAAGTACATAATTATACACTGATGATACCAAGAGTACATATTACAAGAATAGCCTTCATTATTTTCAAAAAGGTCAAATATAGAGTAGAAATTTAAGTAGAGCAAACAATGATTAATAACTAATTTTTTTTAATCATCGAAATAAATTATAACAAGGAAGCATAGAGTTGAATTTATATATAGCAATATTATAGAAGTTCTGATAAAGATAACAAGTTGAAGGTATGACAGTGAGTGTGCAATGGCAAAGTGTAACATTATTAAATATAAAATCAATGTATGAAATTTAAGTTAAAGAAACAACAGCACAAATGTGATTCTTGCAATTCCTCGTGCAAGATAAACTAGTGCTATATAGAGTTGCATACTAAGATTAACATGTATTTTTTTGCAAACCGGATGGAAGTCCAGTGTTTTATAATCTTACACACACACACACACACACACGATCGCGCGCTACACGTTCACACCGCTACGTTCTCATACATCTCAGAGGCTAGACACGCCCACACCAACCACGCCCACAATACACAGGCTACACACCTCCACGCCCACAGTGATCGCCCGACACACCACCCACGCCCACAGTACCCGCACCATACACCACCCACACTACACAATCACACTTAAATATATAGGTCACTACATCCTGCCCCTGCATCTACTGTGCCACTATACACCATGCTACTACCCCACAATACACATCCACACCACACACACACACACACACACACACACACACACACACACACACACACACACACACACACACACACACACACACACACACACACACACACACACACACACACACACACACACACACACACACACTTTCTGACTTACAACAGGCCACACACCCACACTTACCCCCAATCTAATCACACGTCCCCCATGCTAAACCCACACCCACATTCCCCTTACACTACACCCACACGTTCCTCCATACTACACCCACACCAACATTTCCTCCCCAGAACTACGCCCACAAACCTTTCACATTACACCCACACTTCCCTCCACGTTGCACCCACAAAATTATTCCCTTCTATACACTACACCCACGTCCATATAAAACCTTACTCCCATCCCCACACACGCCCTTCCATACAACACCTTACTTAATACCTCCACACCCACACCCCTCTCCATACACCATACCCCTTCCCACCCACACACCCACGCCCATACACACCCCCTCCATACACTACACCCACGCCCATACCTGTAATAGCGTAGTGCCCCGAGGGTCTTGATCACTTCCTCGGGCGTCCAGACGATCCACAGTGTAAAGACTCGGAAGGGGAAGAGGCTGACGAAGAAGAAGACCGTCACTGTAGCCAACATCACCACCACCTGTAATCATGGACGGAAAGAGGGAAGTGAGAGAAACAACGATAATAAAGATGGGAGATGAGAAAGATGATAAAGATGGGAGGTGAGAGAGAAATATTATAAAGATGGGAAGTGGGAAATTTAATAAAGATGGGAGATGAGAAATATTTAAAAATGGGAAGTGAGAGAGACACCGATAATAAAGATCGCAGATGGAAGAGTGACAATAATAATGAGAGTTGAGAGAACCCGATGATAAATATGGGAGAGGAGACAGAACCAAACGGTTACAATGATAGGATGTGCAAGATAGCGAGAATAAAGATGAGAGAGAGAGAGAGAGAGAGAACTAATAAAGATGGGAAGTGGCAGATGAAAGAAAAAATGAGAAAGAGATTGATAATAAACAAGGAAAGTGAGAGATGAGACTGATATTGAAAATGGGAGACAAGATTCAAAAAGAAGAAGAAGGAAAATAGAGACGAAAGGAGGAGATAAGAAGAGGGATAACGAGAATGGAGGAAATTATTCTGATAGAAAAAGAGACGTAGAATTAAATAGACAGACGAAAACTAAAGAAGGAGAAAGAAACCGATAAGAAATAAGAGAGATGCCAAAACCGATAAGCCAGGTAGAAGAGAAAAAACAGGTAAATACAAAAAGCTGGTGAAGATTAAAAGAAAAGAAGGAAGACGATGATGATGATGATGACAACGACAGGTAATTACGAAGAAGGGAGATGAAAAGGAGCAATAAAAAGGACTAAAAAATATAAAGGGGAGAAAGGGTAATGACGATGATAATGATGATGATGGTAATTACACACACCATCACCACCATCCCCACCACCACCCTCAGTGCAGAAAAAAACGAAGATAGAAAGTGAGAAGGACGATAAGGAAAAGTAATGAGGTAAAGAGGCGAAAGATGGTGATAAAAGTTGAACTGGAACTAACAGATAACGATGACTAGAAATATTATATGTAATAGTTTAAAAAAGAAATGTTTTAAACACATTTTAACATAACCAGAAACTAAAGATCATGTCAGTGCTAAACATATATTAAAAATCTTCTAATATATCCATAGTTTATAGTCCGGTGTTGTGAAGTAGTGTTTACAGTCCGGTGTTGTTAAGTCGTGTTTACAGTCCAGTGTTGTTAAGTCGTGTTTACAGTCCGGTGTTGTGAAGTTGTATTAGAATCCGGTATTGTGTAGATAGAGCCCGGCAATATGTAGTTAGAGTCCAGTATTGTCCAGTCAGAGTCCAGTCAAAATAACTCCTATCTCTTTTCTCACATATTTTATTATTCACAACGTAAGCCAGATTGATTCCCAGTCTAAATCCACTCCTTTCAGCTAGGATCCGGGTCCTTGGATGGCAAAATCTCTCTCATTCTTAAGTCTCTCTCTCCCGTCGGTTCTCGGAGGTCTGGCTGTGTCACAATTTGTCTAGCCTTACTGGTTATGAGAAATCGCTTCCCACCTGCCCGACTTCTTGATATTTCTATAACTACTACTACATAACAGTTTTCCTACTATTTCTAGTACTACTACTACTTCAACTAGAATAACTACTATTTCTTCTACTACTACTACTACTTCTGCTACAATAATCACTATTTATAATATTTCTTCTTCTAGTACTACTAGTACTACAATAAGTATTGCTTTTACTATTTATACTACTACTACTGCTCTACCAGCCACACCTCCGCCGCCATTTTATTACCTTAATATTAAATATCCTAATACATGAGTAGCTATCCTAGCTGTGTTGACTTAGTTGAGCCGCAGATCTGTGCGGCATTCAGTGACTGTAGCCTCATAGTCAATATCTGCAGCTGTTGTAGGCTTTGGAGCTGAAGCTCTCGTTCCCCTGAGGCAGAGCAAAGCCGATCGAAGGAGAGAGAAGGACAGTCAACATCTCATCCAGGCTGTAACATAACTTCTGGGCTGCTGCTTCTGTTCGGCGATCACGAGATCACCTCTGCAAGTCTGGCATAGAAACATCTTGCACTTGGTCCCATCCCGCCAGAGGTTGTGAACACTAGACGAGTCAAGCTGCCTTGATCAACGTTCTGAATTCTCTCCCCGTATGCCCTTATCTTGTCGTTCTCGTTCCTCCTGTGTGCAGCATCGAGAGCTAAGTTAAGGTGACATGCGGCCATGGGATCAAAGATCCTGATGTCGAAGAAGGCTCGCTGTCCCCACGTCCAGAATCCTCGAGCACCGGCGTTAACACGGCCTTCGTTGGATGTGTTTGAAGTCCTATGATGAAAAATCTCACCGTCCAATGGAAGGAGAGTCGGTTCTACCCTGATATCACGGCAGATTTCCTTCAACAGATTTGCTGTGAGATCCCTTACTTCGTCATGCCTCATGCATATGAAGCCCCCTATCTTGCACACCATGGAGTGATCGGCGTCATAGGAAGAGCCACACACGCATTGGGAAGGCAAACTTTCCACTGGCCTTCTGTACCTTAGAGCATTGGCATCTGCAAATTCTTGTCTATTGAGACTGAAACCATTTGCCCTTATCGGTAACGTAGTTAACCAGATCGAGGCGCCCACCTCCTGCGCTATAGCTACTTTTTTTTCGAATTCTCTGGTACTTGCAACAACACTTGCTGCAACTTATCCCTTTGGCTGTGCTGTCGTTCTGTAGTAATGGACCTTCGAATCTTGTTTACTTCGCTGGTATCCACCTCCCCTGTTGCGTTCTGAGCTATTATGTGGTCCGTAAGTGCTGCCGTGAGCTTAACTGAGTTTTGATGTTCGGTGGCAGCAATCTCCTCTGGATTGGTCAATCCCATACCTCCCAGTCTCTGTAGTAGTGCAAGGAGTGATCTTTCTGCTGGCGTTAAGTGAGGGTGTTTCACTAATTTGGGAATGAAAATGATGCTGATAGTTTCTTCCAGAGGGTGGAGGAGGGAACCAATATCAGGGATAGCGCACATCAGGTAGTTCCAGCGATGCTTGACTCCATGAGTGAATGCCGCAAAAGCCGCATGTGGCTCTGTGTTAGCACCTCTGACTACTGCTCTACTACTACTACTATAACTATTACTACTACTACGTTACTGTCACTCGGAATCGAATATGACGATCATCCAACTATGATACAATGATATGAGTTATTAAAGATGTCACCTTCGTTGATGAACTTTGAGGTGACTCGAGAGGACGGTACGGGATCGACTGGGCCGTCCACAGATGTTGCACGTGTGGAGGGCTACATCTAGTGCGGCAGGGGCGGCGGTAGCGTCTTTCCAGTGCTGGCACTGCCTCGGTATGCAGTCGGGCTAACTAGAAAGTATTGACACCTTTTTGTGCGGTGCTCCTCCAAGCGTTACGGTGTGTAGTAATCGTCTCCCAGGTGAAGGGGTCGATTTGGCACTTTTTCAGATTTGTCTTAGGACTGTCCTTACACTTTTCCGTTGTCCGCCAGCATTACGTTTACCATTTGTTAGGTGACTGTAAAGTAGTTGCTTTAGTAGTTCACTGTCGTCCATGCGGGTAAAATGGCCAGAAGTTTGTTTAGAAGGACTCGAGCAATAATCTTGCCAGCTATGGAGAGCAGTGAGATCCAGCGGTACCTGTAGTTGCCACAGTCTGACCGATCTCCCCTATTCTTAAAAATATTGACAATCCCAGCCGAAGTGAATAAAGCAGGATGACCTCTGCTTACCTGCCATCTCCACTGACTCCTGAAGTGAGTGGAGACGGCTGGTAAGCACAGGTCCTCCTGCTTTATACACTTCGGCTGGGATTCCATCAGGTCCGGCGGCTTTGTAGTTTTTCATCTGCTTGATGGCATTAGCTACCTCATCCAGGGATGGAGGATAACTGAGGTGGGTCAGCTCTGGGTGCTGAGGAACCTGCTGGGTGGTCAGGACATCCACATCGGTGTTTCAATTGAGCAGCGAATGGTAGTGCTCTTTCCAGCTCTAATGGATGCCGTCCTCTTCTTTAATTAGGGAGTTGTTGTTGGACGAGTGGAGGGGGGCCACGCCAGGAGTAGTTGGGCCATATATTGTTTTAGCGAAACTGAAAATTTCACGCATCTTGTATTGATCTGCAAGTTTTTGCATTTCACATGCTTTATTTTTCAACCATTCATTCTTCAGATTGCGAAATTTGCACTAGGCTGCCGCTTTTTGAGGAAGGTATCAGCATTGATCCAAGACTGAGGGTTGTTCTGCCACTCTACTACTACTACTACTAATTTACTACAATGACCACTGATTTTTTACTATTACTACTTCCACCACAATAACTACTTTTCTTCTACTACATCTTCTACCACCACTAGAATAACTTTTTAATTATAATTTTTTTGGCGGCATACCACTAGAATAACTACTTCTACTACTACTATTACTACTACTACTACTACTACTACTAATAATAATAATAATAATAATAATAATAATAATAATAATAATCTTCACTAAATACAGAAACAGACGAACAAATGGTTTCTAAACTTCTCTAAGACTCGACCTTAACTTAGAACATTATCTCGTTAAGGTATAATATAATAATAAATGTGTAAGTAAATAAGTGTTGATAATAAAAGTGTGTAAGTATATAATTCAGGATACCTTTATAGTCTACACAATGATTTATATATCCTGTTTACCTTATATTTGGAAGAAGCTAATGTATGTATGTATGCATGTATGTATGTATGCATGTATGTACGTATGTATTTGTATTCGTAGGAGCATCTCTTCGTGTATCCAGTCATATGTAGTCAGCCACCTCTCTCTCTCTCTCTCTCTCTCTCTCTCTCTCTCTCTCTCCTATGTCTAGTTATCTCTATCCTCTTCCAACTGATTGTCTTCTGTGTATTTCTCTCTATACTCCTCTGATCCTCTTTGACACTACTCGATCTCTTTTAATTCTCTCTTAGTCTCTTTTGGTCACTTCTGATTCTCTGTGTCTCGTTCACTACCTTTATTTCTTCTTTATCTAACTTTTTCTCTCCACTTTTGATCTCTCGTAACTTACCACCAATGTCTGTGCTTCCTGGCTCTACCTCCTTGTGTGACCTAACTCTACTGTGTGACCTTGTGTGACCTAACTCTACTTCTGTGTGACCTTGTGTGACCTAACTCTACTTCTCTGTGACCTTGTGTGATCGAACTCTACTTCTCTGTGACCTTGTGTGACCTAACTTTTCCATCTTGTGACTTAATTTGACCTTCGTTTAGGGAGAAAAAAATGGCTTCTTGACTATTTATTAAGTTTCACTAGCATCTATATTGAAATTTCTAAATATAAGTCTATACTTCTATGGTCCAAACTGACCTTTCAATTCAACTTTCACCTTTTGAAACTCCTCTGCTTCCTGCGACTTTTTGTGACCTAGTTTGGCACAATTCTACGTTACAGTGGATCAATTTAACCTTTCTGATCAACTATGACCTTTATTAACTTACAACTGTCTTCTAGGCTTCCTGTCGTCTTCTTTAATATAATTCTACTTTCATCTTGCCCTAGCTTGACCTAATATACCCATCTTTAATCCTTCATGTTGAGGGCTGTTTATAGTTACTCCTAACCAATTTTAACCTTTCACATATTAACCACAGTTTCCCTGGCCTTACCTGACCCCTCTTGTCATAACATCACCCTCTACGACGCCTCCCGTCTTGCCTTTGCACTTTCCGACTTGAAATTGTTATTTACTTATATCAATTTGGGTCAATATGCACCATTCATAATATTACCCATTTTATTTTTACCTGACCTGAGACAGTGCCGTGACCTCAGCATAACATATCTGTGTCCTTCTATGACCTATCTTGAGTTTTTCTTATTTACCCTATTATCTGGTGAACTTCCCTGACCTTCCCTGATTTTGGGGGGTTTATTTAACCTTTCTTGAACTTTTTTTTTTTTTACCTTTCCTGACACAATCTCACATAACCCTTCTCCTCCACTTGACACTTTTACTGACCTGTCTGCGAGCCTTCATGTTTGGGAGGTCAACCTTGCGGTGCTGGAGAGCTGCTGAGGCTGAGTCCTGCATGAGGCTCCTGCCGATGACCAGGTAGAGGAGTATAAGGAGGACGAGGGGGACGAAGAAGAAGATGGCGGTGACGAGGTTGATGTAGAGGGTAGCCCAGAAGGAGGTCAGATTAGTGAAGCACACGGTCACCTTACTCCCATCTACATACGGCACTCTCTTGTGTTGACTCATCACCAGCATGGGGCTAAAGGGGAGATATGATGGTTTAACGAGTTTATCTGCTGTATATCCCAGTAAAGATCCATCCTCATTCATCACCCCTGAGTTATGATGCAATCGTCAACTTAAAGGGGTGGTACAGTATGGTTAAAATGTATTGAGTATATCACAGTATATCCAATAGTATGTCCTAGTATATCGATCTTCATAAAAGGAGAGTGACGATAATAAACTCAGCCAGTAAGGGGCGTGATGGAGTGTGTTATTATGACAGGGTGTAGCTGACATGATTAACGCTGGAAGGTTTAAATGATAGACAGATTCGTGAGCTAGTTAATAGAATCTGTCACATGCACATACATATATATTTACAGCCCTCGCTCACACACACACACACACACACACACACACACACACACACACACACACACACACACACACATACACAAAACACCTGGCACAGACAGAAGGGAAATGATCTGGGTTGGGTTCCATTGGGCTCTTTGAGATAACCTTGTATGACGTCAATAGTGGCGGGTTAGGTCAACATGTTCCCTGACTCTGACTTAGTGAGTAATTGTCATCATCATCATAATAATAATAATAATAATAATAATAATAATAATAATAATAATAATAATAATAATAATAATAATAATAATAATAATAATAATAATAATAATAAAATATATTATTATTATGAAGAAGAAGAAGAAGAAGAAGATTAATATAAAAATGAATGAGAATGAGATTAGATGCTAGTGCGTGAATCTCAATCTCTCTCTCTTCCCGTTCATCCACACTCTCCTACCTCCCTCCTCTTCCTCTTCACCCTCTCTCTTCACCACTCACTCTCTCTCTCTCCCCGTTCATCCACACTCTCTTGCCTCCCTCCTCTTCCTCTTCACCCTCTCTCTTCACCACTCTCTCTCTCTCTCTCTCTCCGTTCATCCACACTCTCTTACCTCCCTCCTCTTCCTCTTCACCCTTTTTCTCTCTCTCTCTCTTCACCCACCAACTTTCCCTCCCTCTACACAGACCCACAATCTCCCTCACCTCCTTTCCTCTCTTTATCAGTCCTTCTTCACCCATCTCATTCTCCCCCTCTCTCTAACCTCCCTTTCTCCTCTTCTCCATCCTTCTCCACCTACCCACTCTCCCTCTCTATCTCGCCTATCACCTCACCTCCCTTTCTCTCCTTCCTTCTCCAACTACCCCATCCTCCCTCTCTTTTCCATCTCTCCTTTTCGCACCTATTCATCTATCTCTCTTATTCACTCTCGCATTCTAAAGCATTTAATCTGTCTCCCCCAATTTAATTCAATTTAGTTTGTCTGGGGTTGAATGGTCCCCTATTGAAGAGCCTTGGTAAAATGGTGATTAAGGTGGTGGACTGGTAATATGTTCCCCCGGGAGAGAGAGAGAGAGAGAGAGAGAGAGAGAGAGAGAGAGAGAGAGAGAGAGAGAGAGAGAGAGAGAGAGAGAGAGAGAGAGAGAGAGAGAGAGAGAGAGAGAGAGAGAGAGAATATGGGGGACAGAGATAAAGAGAATGACTCAGAAAGGGATAGATAATTAAGAAGAACTACAGAGATATAAAGAAAATTAAAAAGAGAGAGATAATAGTGGAAAGCGTATCTCTCTCTGACAATGAAAAACGCTTTCGCTGCACCAAACTGAGCTTATGGAGTTAATAATTTCGATGACCACTCGGCAGGGGAGATTGACGATAATAATAATAATAATAATAATAATAATAATAATAATAATAATAATAATAATAATAATAATAATAATAATAATAATAATAATAGACCCTTCCCTTGCCAACATTACCAGCTGAATAATCACTATCTTATTAACTCTAGATATAATATCATTAATCACATTTATAAAATAATTTACCAAGTTGAGAAGAATTCATTTCATCACTGTCGGATTATCCAAAGTTGAATAAATTATTTCAGGTCATAGGATTATGTTGAGTTATACAGAAATACAAACAATTACATAGTGTGTGTGTGTGTCTGTGTGTGTGTGTGTGTGTGTGTGTGTGTGTGTGTGTGTGTGTGTGTCTGTGTGTGTGTGTCTGTGTGTGTGTGAGTGTGTGTACAGGGTGGTGTAATGCGTCTAGTGTGGCAGCATTAGGTTAGTGTTAAGGTGAAAGCACTGCTTGCTCCTTCTCGCTTTCAGCTATCGCCGCTGGCCAGCCCACGTGACGAACAGGTTAGCAACTTGCATAAGTCATTCCCTGCCAGTACACAGCCTCTTCACCATCAAGACTCCTGCTGTGCCTCCTCATGGCAAAACACGGTAACTGGGTGCCTCGTGGGCCCTGGCTAGACCAGCAGGGATCTCGGACTAACAGTGGGCCCCAGAGGTACCGCGCATAGGCCCACTGGCATGTGTACACGTCCTGGAGCCTACCAATCACTGCCCCGCTGCCCTGCGGATTAACCTTGGTAGGTATAAGGCTACGGGAGTAAACCCTAAATGATAAAAAAATCATGGTTAGGTGAAAAAAATGTGGATCAGTCATATTTAATATTTAAAGATTGGTTAGGCTAGGTTAAGCTAGGCTAAAGTTAGGTTAAGTTAAAGTTAGGTTAGTTCCATATTTTGTGCCAGTTACTTACTGGCAATGGGGGGCAATTGTCCAGGGGGGGGGGGGCAGTTGTCCCATAGGGGCAGTTGTCTAGGGAGCAGTTGTCTAGAACCATAGAAAGCAGGAGGACCTCTGCTTACCAGCCATCTCCACTCTCTCCTGGAGAATATGTGGGAAAGGAAGGAAATCCCCCAAGCTCTTAAAGACGCCTCCATCGTCAAAATTTATAGGAACAAGGGAGACCGGTCAGACTGTGGCAACTACCGCGGGATCCCGCTGCTGTCCGTAGCTGGCATTATTATTGCCCGAGTCCTCCAAAATAGACTTCTTCCTGAGGTGGAAAACTTCCAGAATCTCAATGTGGCTTTAGACCATCACGTGGCACCACTGACATGATCTTTGCTGCCCGCTAGATACAGGAAAAGTGCAGAGAACAGCGTCGTGACCTGTACATGGCTTTCATTGACCTATCCAAGGCCTTCGACTCGGTAAACGGGGAAGCCCTCTGGCGGACCCTCAGGCGTTTTGGCTTCCCCAAAAAATTCATCGCCAATGTGAGGCAACTCTACGATGGCATGAACGGCTGCGTCCTGCACAATGGCACCCAGTCTGAGTTCTTCCCCATCCAAACGGGGGTTTAACAAGGGTGTGTACTGGCGCCAACTCTCTTTTCCATTTTCTTGGCTGCCTTCCATACTCGTGCCATATGCCAATTTAGACTGCAGGGTGGACATAGGGTACCGCATGAAGGATCTTTTCAACATAAGACGACTCCAGGCAGGAACAAAGGTGTCGGCTGCTTCCATTACTGATCTTCAATATGCAAACAACCTCACCCTTGTTGCTCACACTGAACACGACCTACAGGAGATCCTGAACACCTACGCAGATGCGTATGTACACTTTGGCCTTGATGGTGAATGTACGTAAAACTCGGATTCTCTTTCAACCTGCCTCTGGTTCAGACACACTTCCACCATCCATCTATCTTAACGGTACTACCCTCTCTAATGTTACCCACTTTCAGTATCTCGGCTCCCGCCTGTTTACCACCGTGGACATCGATGAAGAGATTCAACACCGGATCAGATGTGCATCTGAAGCCTTCGGCAGACTCCGAAACCGTGTCTTCAGCTGAATGGAGCTGAAATTATCTGCAAAGTTACACGTATATCGAGCAGTGGTCCTCCCCATCCTGCAATATGGCAGCGAGACATTGGTCACTTACAGGAAGCACCTCAAGGCACTTGAAAACTTTCACCAACGTAGTCTATGTTCCATCCTCAGAGTTCGCTGGGAAGACAAGAGAACAAATGCCAGTAATCTTGCTGACACCAACTGTAGGAGCATCAAGGCTACCATTATCCATGAACAACTACGCTGTACTGGCTATGTTACCCGCATGGACGACAGTAGACTGCCAAAGCAACGACTTTACAGTGACTCTAACGAATAGTAAACGTAACACCAGAGATGCAACTGAAAATATATAAGGATAGTTTTAAGACACACCTGAAAAAGTGCCAAATCGACCCCTTCACCAGGGAGATGATTACTCCACAGCATAACGCTTGGAGGAGCACCACACAAGGTGTCGATACTTTCGAGTTAGCCCGACTGCAAACCGAGGCAGACAAGCGCCAACGCCGGGAAGACGCTGCCATCGCCTCTCCCGCACTAGATGTAGCCCTCCACATGTGCAACGTCTGTGAACAACTCCGTCGGTCCCGTATCGGCCTCTTTAGTCATCTCAAAACTCACCAATGAAGGTGTCATCCCTAGTAACTCATATCATCGTATTATAGCTGGATGATCGTCATACTCGTTTCTGAGTGACAGCAAAGTAGTAGTAGCAGTAGTAGTAGCTTAGCTCTAGGTGCTGCACACAGTAGGAACGAGAACGACAAGATAAGGGCGTACGAGGAGAGAATTCAGAACGTTGATCAAGGCAGCTTCACTCCTTTAGTGTTCACAACCTCTGGTGGGATGTTTCTATGCCAGACTCGCGGAGGTGATCTCCGAACAGAAGCAGCAGCCCAGAAGTTATGTTACAGCCTGGATGAGATGTCGACTGTCTTTCTCTCTCCTTCGGTCGGCTCTGCTCTCCCTCAGGGGAACGAGAGCTTCTGCCCCAATGCCGACAACAGCTGCAGATATTGACGATGAGGCTACAGTCACTGAATGCCGCATTGACCTGCGGTTCAACTAATTCAACACAGCTAGGATAGCTACTTATGTATTAGGACACTTAATATTAAGGTAATAAAATGGTGGCGAAGGTGTGGCTATTGGGGGAGGCTGGAGGCCACGTTAAAAAAAAAAGTAGCAGTAGTAGTAGTAGTAGTAGTAGTCATCCTTATTTATGTGAGGGTAATAATTCAATGTGTAATTGTTAGTCTTTTTGTCCACTTACTTATTTTAAC